CAGCTCCCATTGAAAATCAATGCTGGATGTAAGGCAGGTACCTGCCAAGCCCCGGCCAGTGCCTCGGGCTGAGCTTCTCATCTCAGGAGCCCTGGAGACTGTTAGAAAGAGCGCTGCAGGGGCCAGGCTAACTGGTTTCCCTTTTAGTCAGCTTGAGTCACCACTGACATTCTCATTAGTGACACTTTGTGCTTTGTTTTTAAGGCTAACACTTAGAACAGGTGTCTGTGAATCAAGTCCTGTGTTCTCGAATAACCTTCTCAGCCCTCTCTCTGGAGCAATGTTCTTGTTCACTGTGCAAATAGTTCCATTGATATTACATTGAAATGTATTGGATTTTCCATTGAATTTGGGGACTTTGTATTGAGCCGTATCCCCATCCCCAGCCCTTTTAAATGTTTAACACAGGGTCTCATAAATTTCCAAACTGGGCTTAAACTCGTGATCCTCTAGCTTCAGCCCCCTGAGACTGATCCCTGAAAATCTATGCAGAGTGGTTGACTGTGTGGAAACCCCAACTGCATTTCCCAACCCAGCCATAAAACCTGGAACTCCACTGATTGTCTACTTAGAGGAGCCATGAAAGAGGCTCTGAACACCTGAGGGAGACCTAAGGACAAGACTTTATCAGCTGACTTCTCCAATGACTCCAGAAACCAAGCATTGTTCTCACTTAGTACTTGAGGACAAATAGACTTTCAGGGGCCGTGCTTTACTCCCCAAGTACCAGGCATCTTTGCATTTGGTTCACTGTTAGTGAAACTGGTCTCATCCTGTAGGTGTTAGGGGAATAAAGGTTTAAGCAAAACTTCTCTGGGGCAAAGAGGTGTCTGAGTTCTTCAGACAATGAAAATTATGCTATGAAAATCTTGGCTCAAAGCACAGCAGTCCCAGGTCTCTGTTCCTGCAGCTCCCTGTGCTGCTGGCCCAGGGGAAGAAAGGCACAAGCGTGGCCAGAAATCCTCACAGTCACAACACCTGCAGCACTTTACTTGCCTTAGTTCCCTTCTTGCAAAGCCCCAGCCTTCTGGGAGGGAAATGAGGATCAGATTTGTACCACACAACACTGAAGCATGTTTCACAAGGCCCAGAGGAGGTGTCCGGTAAAGGCTGGGCAGTGCTCTTGTGCTCTTTACGGGACGTCTGGTCACATGAGTGGGTATAGGCACTGCAAGCACCACATTCAGCCCATAGCCCAGGAACTAAAAAGACAAGTAGTCATTGACATACAGGGTTTTCAAGAGGCTGATGCCAAAGTTTCCAGTCAGCTGACTCACTCGAGGCAGAGGGACAAAGGGCGGTGGGATGGAAGCCTCCCTGTGTGTGTCTGCTCTCATCTGCATCCTTGGCAGTTACCTGGACTGCAAGGTGGGAGCCCTGAGCTCCAGGCAGCCTGACAGTTTTGGGAGATGAATATGGGGAAATTGCTTTTTCTCTTGATACTTCTTATTCTTCTGTATAAATTTACAGCTGATTGTAGTATTTTGAGATTAACTGGATCTTAGTGAAAACACTGTGGCTTTGCTTCAGACTGTGGGAAGCCCTATGGGAATTCTTATCTGCAGGCCAAATGTCTCAGGCCCCCACTGAAAGTAATGTCTACCTGTCTTCAAACCCAAGTGACTGAGAGGCTGCAGCTTAAGAAGAAAGAGGTCTTTCCACCCTTACGTTAGCACTGCTGTTCAGATTCTATAATAGAGAGTTTTTGCGAGGTGCTCACTTCATCAAAAACGAATTCTGCTGTGGGCTCTGCATGCTTGAACTGGAAGATGAACGCGTGCAATTAGCTCAAACAAGTAGAGACGGTGGTGAGCTGCTCTTTTACTGCTGATGTCCAAGTGAGAAATGGCTGGGAAGGACCCAGAGATCATTCAGAAACTGCACATTGTCCAGGAGTGAGGTCACTTCAGAAATGAGCACTGGAGAGGATGGAAGAAACAGCATTGTTTTGGGCTCAACCTTTATAATTTGGTGATTACTCAATACCAGATAAGGAACCTCAACTCATTTTCTCACAACTGCCAGAAATAGCAGCCAACAGACATCCTGAGTTGCACACTGTTTTCAGAACAGCCTAGTGCAAAATGGCACACGTGGAAGTGAAGGAGGAGTTGCTGAGCGGACAGCCCAGGACACGGCTGAGAGCCGGGCTACTCAAGGGGGAGCACAAAGACGACCTCTGTCCCGAACACTCCCCGCCAACTCGACAGTCAGCTTCTTCTGCTCAAGATGCAGGGTCCAGGAATTGTGTAGGATAGTTTGAAACCCGAGTTTCAGGCTATCTCATGGTTGCAGAATTCTAAGTTTTGGCAGCTCTTTCTTGGCAGCATCCAAGGTTTCCACATGCCCCATTTCAGCTGGATTTTTCACAGCTCGCTGACCACAAAGCCATCTTGCAAAATCATGACCCAGAGTGCAGTGTACACCTGTAAAGGCTGAATCTTAGCTTGCCGCTCTCCATTTGATCTGGTTCAGATGATTTGTTTTCCTTTCTTTTATGGTATTCATGCCAGGGTTGCTCTACTATTGACCTACATTCTCAGCCTTACTCATTTTTTTTTCTGACACAGGGTCTTGCTAATTTGCTCAGGCTGACTTCAAAATTGTAATCCTCCTGTCTCAGCCTCTGGTGTGGCTAGGATTACAGGCATGCAGTGTAATACCTGGTAGCAGGTTAATTTGGGCTTCCTTCTGTCTTGATGGGACATTTTACTGAAGTCAATCTTCCAATACCATTTCGTTCTTCCATTATAACTAAGCTTCTCCTGGTTCAGGTGATCCGTTTTTGCTGCTGTTCTCTGGATTCTGTAAAGCCATACTTGGAGCCACAGCTACGGTGAACCCAAGAACTGAGTTTAAGCAATGCCTTTCTCTCTTTGGGGCTGGGGAATGAACCAAATGCCTTTTGCATGCTGAGCACACACCCTAACACTGACTTACACCCTACTGATGAGTTATACCCCTGGTCTGTAAGTAATTACCTATAAATTACAATACTGAGAGACTTCTGTGCACATCAAATCAGGCCTCAGACTGAAATACATAGGAATGTCATCTGATAAAACCTTGGCAAAAAGAGGGAATAGATGCCCATTTATTTAAAAAATTTAGGTCTATTTATGCATTATCTCAATTTTTTTTATCCCAAACACAAATTTCTGGATTATTCTTGAAAGAATCCAGGGGTTTCACAGGCTTGACCCATCATATAGCAATCAGGGATCCTGACCCCTCTAAGGGGACACTCTTTCTGCACTGTGAATGCACTGAGTATTCCAATTCGTGTACCAGTGTTTTACTCCCATGTTCCCTAAAAAAACCTTAAGATACAACAAACTCATCAAAGTATACTCTTACAGTGGAAAGAACTTACACTTGATATGCTCTCCTCCTAAACTCAGTTCTATAAATCACAATGAATCTAGTATGGGGCTGGGAGGGGAGGACTAGGGTGCTCTAAGATGGGAACAAAGTCTTTGGTGGAGGCCACAGGCCTGCTGGGGTCACCATTTTCTGGGGCTGCCGCCATCTTCTCCTCAGGGCCACCCAGAAGCCTGTGGTGTCACTCTGCAACCAGGTCTGCCTCTGTGTCTTTCTTGGCCACCACCCCATTACCTTCTAGGGCCCACAGGTTTGCTTTTCCTGCTGCCTAACATCTTGGGGACCATACAGGACCACCAGCTATGAGAAACCTGAGACTGTCAGGGGTACACGATCAGCAGATGCAATAGAAGCCTGTACAGTAGCCTGTCCACACAGATACTGAATATTTTCCCTTCACAGGGCCCAACAAAAAAACATCGCCATCCTGCCTACAGACACATCTGTGAAGACCAATAGCAGTCCATGAGCTACCTATAATTTTTAATTTCATGACATGTCTTGGATGGGTGGATGCCATCCCAGGCTAAGGCTTGTCTCATGGGACTCACTCTTGAAAGTGCTGCTTCTGATCCTAATGAACCAGCACCACCAAGCTCTCACTAGCTCAGTACCTGGAGCTGTCATCTCCTACAGCTGACTGTTTCAGCTCCCTTGGAAGAGGCTCCTACCTCCTGCGCTCTATCTCAGGGCTCCTCAGATACCCGAGTTTCAGAAATACAAAATTCTTTCAAGTTCCTCTTGGGTCCAATTTCTGCACCCCCGACCCGTAGCAACCTGAGTAGCCTGGTGCTTCTAAAGTTGTCGGTGGTTGTGTTGTCTGAAACTGTTTCCCAAACCCAAATGGCGAGTGAGTCTGCGGGGGCTGCCTCTGAAAGCAGTGCCTGTCCCACCAATCTGTAAACAGTGAGGAAATGCACTACACACTTCCAGCCTCGGACAGCAGGGCTTCAACACAGCTCTCTTCAGCATCTGAAATGTGCTTGGTTTACTAGTACACTGGGCTGCATTGAAATTTAATATTTTAAACACTGTTATGGTTTGTGTTCGGATGACCCCCTCAAGCCTCATGATGTCATGGACATGGCTGAATCCAGGGTTCATGATTGGTTCATTGTCTAGCACTGGGATTGGTGTGTGGGTGCTGCACCTGCCAAGGGGTGGAGCCAACATACAGTGTGTAAGCATGGGAAGAAGGTGTGTCTTTTCTTCCTTTGCAAGGTTCGCTCTTTCTGTTTTCATGGTGGCCGTGAATGGCAGCCCCACCATGCCACACCACCCTGCCTTGAAGTCAGCTGATTATGGACTGAAACCTCCATAAGCTGTTAGCTAAATAAACCTTTCTCTCTCTAACTTTGGGAGTCAGGTGTTTTGTCTCAGCAACGAGAGTAAAGTAAGACAAATTCCTACAAGGGTCCAGTATCCACTGGACTGACCAGTGCTAAAGGAGTAAGTTTTGAGTGATATGACAATTTCAGGGTAGCATTTTTTTATGAATCAAAGTGATAAGTTAGCAACAAACTGTCACTTGTTTTATACTTTGCAGCTCATCTTGAGTGAAAATACAAAATAAAAACAGCAACAACACAAAACCCACATTACTTCAACACCAATCCGCCTTGAATACAACTGGTAATTTTTAATACATGGGAATGACATAGCCAAGATAATAAACTAAAAGCAGCAAAACAAAGAATTAGAAAAATAAGCATACTAGAAGTTATTTATGTTTAATGCTTAAAAGTCTGAATGCACAAACAATCTACCATTATAGAAGTACTGGTGGTCAATACAATGCATTAGAACTATGTACAATGCACAGTTTAGTATCAAAATCTTTCTACACTGTAGAGTTTTACGAAACTGTTAATGACATCAAACACTAAGCACTTAAGACACCATCTTTTTCTGCTACCACATCAGGAACGGCAATGGACAGTCCATTTTAGCTTGCAGCCTCCATCCATTTCTAGTATGAAATTAATTTTCTACGTATACAATAAAGTTTATCTACACGGTTCTTTTGATTTTGATCCATAGCAGCAAAGGCACTGTACATCAGCAGATCCACAGACTTAAAAAGATTTTTTTTTAAAGCATTCAAACAAAAAAAAAAAATAAAAAAAGGAGTCACATATTATAGTTTAACAGCAACAACAACAACATAAAAGATAACACAATGTTTCTGGCACAATGGCACAGCCTGTGTCCACTTCAGGGACATCCAACTAAGACGTGGAAAGAACCGGAGGTAAAGAAAGCAGTCCTCAGCCCAGACCAAGTCCGTTCCTTTGTGTTTTCCGGAGGGAGGTCTCGCAAGCCCTCCTCCGCTGTCCTTGTTTTGTGAAAGACTTGACTTGCACAGCGGTAGGTATCCTTCCTGTATCTGTGCAGCTCCCAAAGAGCACGCCACAAAACAGCCTGTAATTTCTCAGAACAACAAAACTGCACAAAGATACACATCTCCCTTTGCAAAGAAAGGTGGCAAAAATATCCAGGAGGGATTAAGTTCTCTCTTTGAGGCCCAATGTAACACGTTCATCTGTCTATAATACAATTTTAAAAAGGGAATTAAAAACATATTACAAAGACACTTGTCAACAAGTTGAAAGAAGGAAACAGAAAATGTCCAATTACTGGTATCGAGTATCATCTAAAGCTATAGGCATATTGATTAAAGTTGTCCAAAGAGACTCAAATGAATATGACTTGGCCTGTCATGTTTTAATCGTTTAGCCAGATTTCCAAGTATCTTTAAAATAAGTAGAAAACAGAAACAAACAAAAAAACCTAGTAACACAGCAACATATTGCTTCTGTGTGTAATTATACATTTCACATCTCTATACAGTCAATAGTCTACATTTAGTGACATTTTTAAGCAATTATTTTAAACCTTTCTTTCCCCTCCTTTACCAAAAAAAAGGGGGGGAAGGGTATCAAATACAACGCACCTTTGTTATCAATGCAGGAGCAGACAGCTTTATTTAGTCAGTCATTGTTAGAAAGCCTTCTTTAAACAAAATAAATATATTACAAATATAATACATGATTAAAGATTTCGTTCACTGTTAAGTATGCTTATTCCATGTTCTTCCAAATAGACAGCTGAAGATTTGGTATCACAGGTTCTAAGAGTATTCACAATTCAATAGCAAGGAGCAGTGGGTGAAGGAAGGAATTAAACTCCACAACTAGTATCTGAAATCCTTAGTTTTAGATGCAAGGGTAGGGAGTGAACAAAACAAACAAACAAAAAACAAAACAAAAGATGGGAGCGCAAAGTGCTACGAGGAGGAGTCCAGTCTGCGTGAAGATTTGTCCTTAATAAATAACTTCATAGACGGTGGCCTTCTTATCTCCAGAGCCAGTGACAATGTATTTATCGTCCACAGAGATGTCGCAGCTCAGCACCGATGAGGATTCTTTGGACTAGGAAAGGAGCATGCAATAAAAAATGTTACACACTAAAGGAAAATCCTAGAGGACTGAGAGGCAGGCCTGCAGAACCCAGAGCAACCGCAAAGGTGACACGCCCCTTGGGAGAAACGGGAGTCTTGCTGGGGAAAGCAGACATAGGCTTTCAAAGAGTAGATGGGCTGGAGCCAGTCCTGGAGACAGGAGCACTGGGGGTGCTTGCCAGGCTGCAGAGGAGGCTCCTGCCTGGGGGACCCTGGGAGGCAGCGGTAGGAGCACTCACCCTATGCCCAAACAGTGAAGTCAGGCCTGATAGTATGCAAGTCCCCCCATGCACCCGAGGTTTGGATCCAGGCAGAGCCTCGGATTCATAGACACCTCTCTCAACCTGTCTGAGCCCCTGGCTCCTTCAAGGGCAAAGGGGTCAGGCATCACCACCTTCCCGCCATCCCAGAGTTCACTCAAGTAATGCACAGGAAACAACACTGGAAATACTGGATTTTTTGAAATAAAGTAAAAATGCAAGTAAAAAGCCTAATATCGAGTAAAAATACAATACAAATATCACAGAGGAGAGCACTTCATAGTCAGAAAGAGAAACACATCATCCCTAAATGCTGTGCACACGTGGATGTACTACAAAAGGCTCAGTGTTAAACTGTCAGCTGCATTCTGCTCATTAATCAGACAGCAAACGAAAACCGCAGGATTTTAACCAGGACTCAAGAAAGCTGTCCAAACACGGCAGGGTCCTCAGACGTTTTTCTTTCTCTTTTTTCTTGTCTTTTTCGTTTTTATCGGTACCAGGGATAGAACTCACGATCACACACTTGCAAGGAAGGCGCTTATACCGCTGAGCTAAATCCCCAGCCCCAGACGTTTTTCTTATTCTAACTGATAATAACCACTTTGAGTTCAAAATCCAGTACACGCAGCAGCTGTAGTACTTATACTAGCATCACAAAAGATGTGCTATAATATTTTTACATCATTTGTTTGAAGAAGTCATCGCCAGAACTACTTAAAATGTTGTGATCCACGATTTGAAAAGGCACACAGTAAAGCATGAGCCTGGGACAGCAACGATCAACTACTTCTGTCTTACCGACTACATCGCATAGTATTTTCATGCGATGCATTTTGGATTCGACTGAGTTAGTCTACTCTGACAACTTAACAGAACTTGGTCAAGCAACCACAAATCCCCTGTGTTAGTCCTAAAAGAAGAACATCAGATAATAGCATCTTAAATACAGAAGACTAAAAAGTAAGGAACTTGACTATGAAATTCTCACGGGTAAAAGAGAATATGCTGTGTGTATGCGTGCATACATGTGTACATAATTCCTTTTCTGCAAATAATTTCATAAAGGATACAACATTCTACTAAGACAATAGGAAAAATAAAATCAATCAAGATTTACTGACTTTTTCTGTAATACTCTTCTTTGGGAAAAAAGGAACTGATAAATACTAATGAGAATAGTTAAGCAAAATACTCAAGTTTTAAAATAAAATGAATTTTAAAATGATACACACACACATTTCACAGAAGACCTAAAACGCCCCTCTGACATGGACAAATCCCAGGCTGCAGAGTGCAGAGTCAGGGCACAGGTCAGCCCTAGCAGGGCTCACGGTCACTCAGACGCTGCACCCCTGCACAGGGGGCCTAAGGTGCATCTGAGAGGATGCACAGAGTGTGGCTGTGGACAGGCCACCACGGTAGTGTGCACACAGCACCTGCTGGACACACGAGCATTGCTTTGTTATAGTTACCTGGAAGATGCTGGCCCCATAGGGCGTCCTCCAGGCATTCAGAAGGTTGTCCTTTCCAGTGCTCACAAACCACTTGCCTGCGGGAAGAGGGTTTCAAAAGAGGGAGCCTAAGCGTCACCCTGCCCGGACCGAGATGTGCCTTACAGGGCACAGGCTCCTCACAGTAAGCAGCAGGGCTTCTGTTGTTTCAGTCGCCCCTACGGGACTCCAGGCATCCACACTTATAATATAGAGGAGGAAGGGTAGCACCAGAAAGCCAGCCACAGGCTATCGCTATGGGGGAGGCAGGCGTCAAGGCCACCTCCAGTTAACACAACTCTGGGAGGGCCGTGCATAGAAAGGTACTGAGGACCCAGCTGGGACTCTGGGGACAAGACAGCTGCAGGAGCAAAGGAGCCTGCTTACCACAGTGGGCAAACTTGAGGGATAGCACGCAGCTTTCGTGGAGGTGCAGCTGGTACTTGTCGGGCTTGGTGACGTGCAGGACCTCCACGTTGCTGTTCTCCATCCCCACGGCAAGCCACTCCCCGGTGGGGCAGTAGCCCAGGGAGAAGATCTGGAATCAGAAGAGGGGACGCAGCTGCAGTGGACAGGCTTTTGTCATTTTTTTTTTTTTTTTTTTTAATACTAGGAGGTGCTGTCTCTTCTGGGGATGTAAATTACTAAGGGCATCAAGATAATCTGAACTGCAGAGAAAGACACCAAAGCTCATGGATGAACCCAGACTAGCCCATGGCGGAAAGGGCCCCTTCCTTCAGGGTACTGTGCAGCCCCTACCTGCGAGGTGAAGTCGTGCTGCTGCAGTTGCCGCCCCTCGCGCAGGTCCCAGGACCTGACGGTGTTGTCCAAGCCACCTGTCCAGAGCTTGGTGCCGTCGTTGGAAATGTCAATACAGCTGGCTCCATCTGTGTGGCCCTGGAATTGCCTGAAAATGTCAAAATGGAGAAATGGTCCCCAAGAAGTTAGTCCATAATTGAACTCAGTTTTGAATTCCTCAGCTGTCAGTTTCAAAGCAAGTTACCTTCTCTGTAGATTTCCTTGTTTTGTGTGTTTTCTAATTATTCAAAGTAGTAACAAAACCTGTGCAGGCAGCTCTCTATCTGCAGATTCAACTCATTGCAGATGGAAAATATTCAGAAGCAAAGTGTCTATACCCAACACATACAGCCTTTGTCTTGACACTATTCCCTAAACAACAGAGAATAACTTCCTACATACCACTTACTTGTGCAAGGGGTTGTAAGTCATCTAAAAGTGACTGAAAGCAGGCAGGCAGGAGTGCACAGCTCCTGTGTGAATATCATGCCATTTCACATAAGGAAACATCCCCGGACTTGGTAACCTTGGGGCATCCTGGACCCCATCTTCCACAAATACAAGGGATGAAGGTGTGGAGATTAATCCAACTGAGGAATTTCCTGTGCTATCTCTTTAGTTTTAAATACTGAGGAAGCTCTTTAAGTGATGCACTAAACAAAATCAACTAAAATGAATAAAAGAAAACACACAGCTATATGCATGTGACTGCATGGAGTTAATTCTGCTTGTCACTGTGACGTAGAAGAGGCAGTGACGATTGTTTTCCCTTCTGAAGAGGAGTAGGAAGAATAGCACAGGGGTTGGGAGAACACACTGCCAGGCAGAGGCAATCTGTAGATGGTGGATCAGAACAGAAAGGTCACACTTTCAAAACGTGCACGGAAGGCTCCTGGTGGGACTCTCAGTCCAGGGCTCTTGCCTGGTAAATGTACAAAGTGTGCTAGGGAAGGAGCTCTAAGCAGCTCCTTACTCCCCCAGAGCACTAAGCCTTACAGAAAACAAGCCTGACAACTGTTTTGTTTTTTGAACTGTGTTATGGTTTGCGTCTAGAAGTCCCCTCAAAGCCTCATGCAGTCACGGGGTGGGCTTCTAGGCTTTGTGATTGACTGATTCAGGGTCCAGTGCTGTGATTATGGGGTAAGTGCTGCACCAGCCCTGGGGCAGGAAGCCTGCTTACAATATAAGGGAGGATAAGAGGCTCGTTCTCTCTCTCCACCCCTTTTGCTCTTGTTGCTTTTGCCGTCTTCCCATTGCCATGACCTATAGCCCTTCTGCCATGCCACCCTGTCTTGGAGCCAGCTGATTATGGACTGAAACCTCCACTGTGATCCAAGTGAAACTTTCCTTCCTTCATTTTGGGCGTCATGTATTGTGTCTCAGCAATGAGAGAAAAGTAACCGATACACAATGCACAGAGAGTTCAGCCCTTCAAAATCAGAGACAGAAGGTAACGGCTATTTCTCTCTACAGACTCATGTGGCCTTGAAGCCAGGATTGACTACAATCTTCTCACACTCTTTAGCCGGTATGGCCCTTGCATTCCTGTTACATTAGGTGCAGACAGCCAGAGAATTACTTCAGGGCCTCCTCAATCTCATTTCCAAATAAACTCTGGTGTAGGGTCTGTCTGTCCTGAATTACCGAATTACAGATAACCTGAAGCATTTTGGTTGTGTGGTACTCAAGGTAGTCCCTGGGCTGATGGGAACTGCTACAGTGTAGGCCGGTGACAGTGAATACATCAAGATTCACAGCACTCAGGATTGTACCATGCACCATGTGTCTTCTCTGTGGAGAACCCTCAGCAATGATGGCTTGTTAGCAGGCATAGATGTAAATTACAGACACCTACTGATCTTGTGAGGTCATGGGAACCTTACAGAGATTAATTCTGATGAAATGAATCTGAATTAGTGATGCCAAAAAAGAAAAACACACCACTCATTTTATGAAGTACAATTTAGAAAGATTTTGACATTAATTTTTTCAACAGCATCTCAAAATGGACCCATGAAAAATTTTTAGTAAGATAATTATAATCCATCTATTTAGACACACACACACACATATACACACACATACACACACGCACACACTCGCACACCCCACACAGCAATACGGAGGAACATGCGCTCCTCCTTCAAGTAGATCTTGCTGACCTACCTCACCAGCGTCTGGTTGTGCAGGTCCCACACCGCAATGTTGCCGTCGCTGCAGCACGAGAAGCAGACCTTGGAGTCGGGGCTGATGGCCAGGGCATAGCAGGCAGGGGCCGAGGACGTCAGCTCTGCTTTGATGCGTGGGGTTGGAGCGGCCAGGTCCCAGATGGACAGAGTGCTGGCTTCCCCTCCCACAATGAGGGTGCGACCATCAGGGAGCAATCTGCAGGAGCGGATGTAGTTATCTCTGTTCTGTAGAGACAAAAACGCATCAGTGGATTACTCATGAGGAAAGGGAAACAGCATTAACACGAGAGCAGAAATCCATAAAAGTATTGTGTTCCCTCCTGGTTTAATGAGCCATTTATACTTATGACAATGATAAAGTAGATTAATGCTAGAAAATTACATGAAATTAAGGAAGTACTTAAACTTGATCTACAAAATTTAGTACTGAGATATTTAATCTTAATTAGCATCATAATGCACAGACCTAGCTGGAGTACGCGTGTCACACAGATATTCACTCACACTCACGCAGCTCTCCCACTCCTCCAGTGCCAGGCCAGGAGCCTGCACACTGTGTACTGCAGCTGAGGATCCTACTACTGCAGCTGCGATGCCTGGAACTCGAGTCTTTCCCCCTGGCTCCACATTCCATGACTGTGGGGCACCATGTGTGGGGTGGAGCAGGAGCTAGTAGAGAAACATGATCAAGCACTAAGGGGCAGGAGAAGAATTCTCCCCATGTCAGGAGATGACAGGGGTGTAAGGTCTGGTTAGTGTCAAACTGCCTCCGCCTCCTGAAGCACCAACACATTCTCCCGACAGAAGGAAAAAGCTCAGGCTGCAGTGCCCTACGTGGCCCGAGGGCAAATGCCAGTGTAGCAGCCAAGAGGATTTTGGGCATGTGCCACAGGACAATTTCTAGCTTCACTTTTACAGAAACCAGGTATAAACACATTTAAGTTTTTCTTAATCCATCATCAGACAGTTAAGTAAGTGATTTGCCTTTCTAGGGCTGGAAATCCACACTAAAGGCTGTGCAGATAGCATCCGCTGGAGCTGCCCTTTGGGAAGCCAGAGGAGACTTGCTTGAGGGATGCCCATGACCCCGGAGCCCATGCCGGGCAGCTGCCCGCACTCTGCCCACACCCTGGCTGAGTCTGGGTCCCATGCATGGCCGCTCGCTCACCAGGCAGTCCAGCTGGGAGACGGGACTCTTGTTGCCGGGGTGGCTGATGTCCCACACCTTGACACAGCCCTTGCCGCCCGTGTACACGTGTCTCGTGGGGTTGCTGATAGTGACCGCGCACACCACCTCCCCGTGGTTGAGTGTGTTGATCTGGCGGGCGTGGCGGGGGATTCCGGGTCCAATGAGGGCATCGGGGGGGAAGGGGACCGGCTGCATCTGGCCATCTGCACTGACGTGGAAGGAGTAGGCTCTAAAGAGAGAAGACGGGAAGAGAAGACTGTACACAACATGTTACTAAACTTTACAGCTAACAATAAAAAAGAAATTTTCAGGGCTACTTGAGATGTGAGAACAACTCCAGTTCCCTAGTACGCTGGAAATAACACGTTTCAGTGACACCGCTAACCTGAGATGGAATGCCAAGTGTGATTGGCCACTGTGCATCAGTAATTACTAAGCCTCACTGAACTTCCCTAACTTTTGAGCTCTAAAGAAGAGGATGCACCTAACTCACAGAGAACAAGGTAATGAACCTCAAGGACAATGCCTTATGTTTCAGGGCGTGCTATAAACCTGCACTGCCTGCTACTACTGACAGTGACTCTGAGGCCTATGATTAGACTCTGCCTAACAAATGACCCATTCCAATCAGGCAACATAACTGATGGAAATCAGGGGGCTGTGACGGAGATGCATAGGGAGTGCAGAGTCTTCAGGCACAGTCGAGGAGACTGCAGATGTGTTAAAATCTTAAAGTCCCATTTCAGCACACTGCTCAGACTTGATAATCACACATCCTAGTGAATCTGAATGGCAAGAGGATGTGAAAAGGATCCTAAGTGGCAGCCTGGGGCCAAGAGTGACCACCCATTGGCAGTGACATCACTACCTCATAACCCAGAAAAGTCCGCACAAGTGAGTGAAAGCCCTGGGTCTCCAAGGCAGCTCAAGTTAGGTGGTGCCATGCGCAGTGGACCCGGGTGGCGAGAGGCAGCTGGCTCAGCTGGAGAGGCCACCGCCTACTTGGGAAATAACACCCTGCTACTCCGGAATGAAGTTCTGCCATGTGCTCTGCTGGGGGGAAAAGTTTGCAAAAGGAGTGCTGGAGGGCACTTAGCAGGGCACAAGGGTTGGAGCTGGCACCAGACCACAGGGAAGCTTAGAGTCAAACTGGGAGTTTATGGCTTCCTAACATGAAAATCCATGGGCCGGTCACATTTTTCCAAAGTTCACCCTGGCTGAGGAGCCCTCACCAGCCATTTGAATGTTCCCAACAAGACTGACCCAGAGCACTGCGGAGGTGCGGGGTGGAGGGCAGATGCGGAGGCCTTTATTTGTTCTGAAGACTGCAGAGAGTTGTAGAGGGAAGCAGCATGCAGACTTTCTGGAGGGTGAAGAGGTGAGAAGCCAGAGGCCAATGGGAGAAAGCCAGTTCTCTGGTCAGGTCAGCAAGATTGAGCCACACTGCATGTATGTGTGTCCTGAGAAGACCGTTAGGAGGACTCTGAAGCTTAGAGCTCAGGGACAGGGTGGACGCACGAACTAGTGACTGTGACAGGGAAGCCTAACTCGATGGCACCCATGGGAGTAGCTGGTTTGGCTGATTGTGAAGGCAAATGAAAATTCAAACATCTTCAATGAAGGAGTGAGGCTGGCCTGGAAACGATGCGCGACCATCTACAAACAAGAGCTCGCTGAAACAGCGGGGACAGAAAGAACAATCCTGGAGCAGCAGAAGGAGATCAGCTACCCAGCCTAGGAGAAGGCTTGGAGTTAAGGAAGCCCAGCAAGAACAGTGAGAGGCAGACAGATACACGGAGACCATAAACGCAAAGGAGACAGCCAGTCACGGGAAAATGTACAGTGACGTTCACCCACTGAACATATTTCTTGCGTACCCTTTATGCAGCACTCTATGCTCAGGATGAAGTGAGAAAGAAACCCACACACCCCATTCTCCCATGCAGCTGTGGGGGCTGAGGAGAGAGCACACTCATCAGGGAGATGCTCACGTGATCATCTACAGACGGCTCAGGGGTCAGCACTCTGAGCGCTGTGAGCAGTGGCAGCTCCTTGGCACCACGGGAATCTCCAGACAGGATGCCCAGAAGGAACATGGGAAGGGTGAGAGAGCAGGCTCCCTCGGCTCACATGTATCAACAGCCTCCTGTGCTTTAGACATGGTGAGGTAGGAGGCAATCAGAGGAGAGAAAGTCCATTTTCACACCAGCCCACAGCTCAGAGGGAAAAACGGTACAAAGCGCCAAGCTGAGGAATAGTCACTGTCAATGCCCTGAACTCAAGAAGCATCCAATAGGGTGAGAGGACATAGGCTTGAGGAGAGGCAAGGGCCTGGAAAGCTGTGATGAGACATCTGGACATTCCTGTGGCCAGAAGCAAGCCACTGGACTCTGGGGACACGACTCAGTCATGATACTGAATGCCCGTGGCAGGTGTCAGATGAAACGTGGGTTGTAGGAGGCAGGATCAGAATGGGTAACTGGCCTGGGCTATTGCAGGAGACAAAGCACGGGACAGAAACTTGGGGTTAGGAGGCTGGAAACCGAGTCCTGGATGGGTGCAATGCTCGGGTTCCAGAGGTGCCAGAGGTGCTGACGAGCTCTCAGCAGCCTGAAATTACAGGTACCCGAAGTTGGATGGGGCAGCCCAAATACCAAAGTGAATTTGTGGAGGAATGGTCCGTGTGGACACGGCAGTCACGGTTTACGCTGGCCAGGGGAAGACTAAGCTGTGTGCTTGAGTCTTAATGAACTGGGGGAACCTAAGTAAGGCAGAGAGGGGTGGAGGTAAACTGCATAGGTCTGCAAAGAAGCAAGGTTTTTCACCAAGGGCAGAGACGTTTAGTTCTGGCTGAGCCTGAGGAAGAGGGAGCAGAGGAACCAGTGTTTATCAACTCTGCTGCCGATCCTGTGGACTGTGGGATCTGACCAAACTGTGAGTCACCCCCGGAGGTGCGCACAAAGGAGGGAGCTCCAGGGACAGCCGGGTTGCAGTTCAGGCAAGGTGTTCACGAAGAAAAGCCGAGATTCTGAGGGATCATGACCAAGAGAAAGGCTAACTGATTTAGCAATTAAGAGTCATAAAGACTAAGTCTCAAAGGAAGGGAGAGGAAGGTTATTCCAAGTTCAGATGCTGTTATACATTCTTAATGATCATTTCCTTGAAGAGACAGCTCTTTCTCCTCTAGGGTCTCGAAATGGTTTTTAAATATAGTTGAGAATTTAAATAGTTAAGAAACCAGACTTGCAGTTTCAGCAAGGCATTTAAGAGAAGGTTCTTCAACTTAACCACCTAGTGAGTACCGCCTGTGTCCACAGAACTTCGGACCACAAGAGCCCAGCTGTGTGTGGCTCTCTGTTCACCATCAGTGGACATGCAGCCTTCAGGGCTGAGAAATCAAAGCTCTAGTCTTCACTTAGCATATTCTAACCAGCTCTGATATGCAAGTAGCAAAAAGTACTGGAGTGTGTAAAGAAAATGAACATTTCTAGGAATGACAGAGTCAGGCTCAGAGAGTTGCTCTCTCCCTATCAAAGTGGACGCCTCTGCGCCCTGTGCAGTAAGGACCAGCTCCCCACCTGCTGTGAGACAACTGCCCGCTAAGGAAAAAGCACTGAGGTGGCAGCCGTGGCCATACACAGCTCATCACGGAGCAATGCTGGCGAGGAAATTACCGAATTACAGCACCAGGCACATTCCGAAGGGATGCACGATTCTGTGGTGGCCTGAAAAGCAAGTTCAAACTGCTGTTTCATGAGAGACGTGGCACTGGTCATAGGTTTAAAGAAAGGACAGAGTTCACCAAGGAGGAGGAAGATGGGAGAAGTTCTTCAGTAGGCAGGAATAGCAGAGAAGGGACAAAGGACTCCAAAGGAGGTGATGAAAGACTCTGGGGAATCCCTGGGTCGCTTTCAAATTCATTTATTCAGAAGAGACCCCGAGTGTCTGGCGGAGATGATCAGGACAGTGTGACGAAATGTGGCAGCTACAGAAAAGGGAAGACATTCGAGGCTGCCTGAGAACATCAAAATGAGGTTAGAGTTCTGGGAGGAAAGAGAAGCTGTGATGTTACTGGGGCGAAACCATTAAAAACACAAACTCAGTTCAAGGAACAGGATGTCACTACAGTTTGGATTTAAGTACCCTCCAAAGGCCTAGATCAGTTATGGCAAACCTTCTAGAGGTGAGTGCCAAACCTACTTACTTATCTCAAAGTGCCAACCCTACAGTTGAACCTGAACACCAAGGTTTTAGTTTAGAAAACAACAATTCTCCATTAATAGCTTCTGTTTTAAGAGAAAAACAGCACATGTACCATGGGGTTGCCACCACTGGCCTAGATGAAGGCTTGGTACTGATGGAGGCGGTGAGGCCTTGAGGCAGTGAGGCCTTCGGGCGGTGGACCAGGGATGAGGTCAGGTGAGTAGAGGTGTAGCGCTGGGGCTCCAGCCTACACATCCTTCCCTCCGTGCCACTCAGGCCTTCTGGCTACCATGGGAAGCAATTTCCTTTGCCACTTGCCCTCTGCCCTATGGCCGTCTAGAAAGCAACATGGCCAGCTAACACTCAATAGCAAACTGGGCCAAAGAGGAAGCCTCTCTCCTTACACCGTGATTACTATGGGTATCTTGTCAGTGACAGAAAGCTAACACAGGCGAACAGGGGACGAGAAACAACTGCTCTATGCTGGGGGACAGCACTCAGGGGCACGAAGCAGCAAGCGTGGGCATGGCAAGGCGGAACTAAGGGCAGATGGAAAGTTCCAGAGGACCTGACAAACAAGATGTGTGGGGAACCAACAACGACCGGTTTCACAGACTCAGGACATCAGAAACTGGATACTGGATACTTATGATGCAATAGGGAGGAAGTACTAATAGGTGACAGCACTTTCTGAATGCAGTGACTCTGAGGTGTCAATACTGCACACGATGTTAAGACATTCAGCAAGTAACTAGAAATGTAAGACCAAGATGGGAAGGGTGCAGAGGTGGACCCACAACTCCCACAAGTACACACACGCGTGCACACACCAACAAAAGTTCAAGAGAGAAGAGCAGTTCTCCAATAGACCTGGGAAGCAAAAAGATGATGGCTGAGAAATTGTTATGTCTGGAGATGAAGACAGGACTGTATCGCAAACATTCGCTGAGGGCCAGTATGTGTGCTCAAGTTGTTATTTTATTTGGATCACCATCTTTGATGAAGAACAAGCATATTTAAAGAAAG